CGCTTCATTTCTGGCAGGGATGACTAGACTCTCCAGGATTTGTTATAGTGCTGGGTGGTGGAATGTTGTGGTTCTTACGTTCGCCAAAGCGATAAGTGGGAGCATAATGCTCACCGTTAAAGTTTGAGTTATGACCAGGCGTATGAGTTGGGAGCTTTTTATTCTACGGCATTGGTTTATGTGGCTCGGTAGTGCACGTTTGTATTGTAGCCTTTTTGACAATGAAATACTCTTCACCAATGTTAGACAAAGTACGCTTGAAATAGCACTGCCTAGTGTTTGTATTGGGTTTGAACCCCTGAGTTTTAGCTAGATTTTAGCGAGCTTTAGCAACCGCAAAGAAATCGATTTTCCCTTTTTAAAGTTCGTCAATAGTGAGATGACGCATACAGCATCTGCAGGCTACGAAAAGAACAGGGAAATTTCACTTTACATTGCAAAAAGATTGCTCATGAGTGTGGGTCACTTCCATTCGCCGTTCTTGCTCCGCACTAAAGGGGCATCAAGGTCTAGTGATATCCTATTTTTGCGTTACAGGTGACCGAGTTAACAACAGTGATAATGTTTATTCCTGAGTATGCAGACACACACCATTTTTACAGGCATGAAGAATTTATTATATAAAATACATATGTGTTCACGGCAGGTAATCCTAATCCCCGCTATTCTATCACTAAAGGATGCAAGTGCTGCATTTTTAAACAGTGGAACATCCCAGAGGAATAAGTATGCAAGACTTTACAAGCTGGACAAGTGGAAGTGTTGTCTTAGCATTAGCAGAACCACCGGGATTTGGATCTCGACAACAATACTTCCGTGGCGACAGTTTGGACTTTTCGCTTGGGATAGTGATGAACAGTTCATGGGGGAATGTATGCAAGTTGCTTGTTTGTTGTACCTCACCGACGGTTCCAGAATTGTGTAATTCGTGTGTGTCATTACCATTTCACACCAAAAATCCATGATCTCGCTGAATACTACGGCTGAGAGCCAAGTATCTTTAGTTTTCCAGCTCCACCATTTGGAAGCGATAGACTTATTTGAATGCGCCGGGTGGAATTCCACGACATCTCGTCTGCCGTTTTCGCGGGTCGTGATAGCCTTGTGGTCGGTAGGTGTTAGACTTTCCTGGTCACCCATAGCGAATAAATCCTGGGTTCTGATAACTATGAAGTCGTTGTCCAATGAACCTTCTTTGTTCCTGTGTGTCATGGTCAGGTACCGTGAATGCAGTGATATAATATAATATATGATATGCATTTATACCGGGCGGTGAATGAATATAAGATGAAAATCTGAACCACGGTTGGATTGGAACCGGCGACCACCCGGCTCCTGCCCGGATACTTCAATATTGCTTACATTTTCAGTCTCGATACCAACAGTAGAAGGTACCTAGCAGTGGAAACACCACATCCTGGATTCGAGTCTGAGCGGAAAGGATGTCTCCCACTTCCAGGCTGGTGTATCCACCCGACAAGTTCCATTTAGGACGAAGCGTGCGTTGTGGATTCCACCGCTAACCACTGTTCATCGTTAAATGTATGAGGTCCCTAAATGTTACACCTTCGTCTGTATTTGCGGGCAGTTGTTGAAAAGGGGATTAGACACTGGCAACACCTGCTCAATACGGCGCAAGATGTCGTAATAACATCTCTCACACACGAACTGTCCATTCAGAGGGAACATGTCCAAGTGTTACTTCCCCCTTGTCTTTCGACAAACTAAAGGCCACTGTTGCCTTCTGCACTCGTTATCCTTCTCTTAGCCACCACTTCAATCATCTGTATATGTGTTACCTCAGTACTGGCGAAGTTAGAAAAGAAAAAACCAACCTCCGTACAGTCCTTAAATCTCAGTCCTTTCTAAAATCTGTTTCCCTATAATTTGGCTCGCCATACAGGTGAGTTTTGTGGCTGTAGGACCTGATGAGGGTTTATCGAAAAGAATATTCTTCTTTCAGACTGTTGCTTTTTACCAAGGGGAGAAGCCACAGAATCTTGTTACTAGGGGCACCAGTTGCTACAGGTTACACTCAGGGAGTTTCCTTATGACACCGCTTTCTCGATATTAGCAACCCCAATCCACTATTACGGTTGCCGATTGTATCAAGCTGCTCCAGTCAAGAGCCATGCTGAGACCATCATACACAACATTCGCCCGTAGATTGACATTCCTAGCCCTAACTTAAAGTTCCATTGTTTAAAGCTTTGCAATCGTAAGCTTCAGGCGGGAGAATGGTGCGTCCCCTGTTTTTCAGTCAGATGTAGGGGCATACCTTGGTAAGTTGTCTCGCTATCTTTCCCAAAATGATATTATTACACGTGCGACTGAATGACCAGCAGCTAGTTCATAGTCGTTCATCACCTAAAACGCAGGAAAAGCCACGGCATACCTCGGATTCATGGGGAGCTGTACACAACTCAGGGATACCTACATCAGCACTTTCAGTTGTTAATCAGTAGTATCGGTCGTAGCTAGCAACGGGCTGGAGTAAGCTCCGACTGCACGAACTGAATCACCAATTCTCAGCCTATTGAACGGTAAAACTTTCGTGCCTTTCCCAGTTACGGCCGGTTCCATCAGGACAGGTTAGGGATTGTCCTGGTGCGAGCTTGACAGACGCAAAGGCCAATCACCAATTATTCGGACTTGTTATACACTCACGAACATGAGATTGAGGGAGAACACAATAGCGTAGTCGGATGGTATAGTATATTTGCCAAGTCGTGTCAAGATAGCGATGCGCTCCAACTAACTAGCTGGAGACTCGACTACGAGCAGTGCAGGGTAACACGACAGTGTGCCAAATGGCCAGGATGCTTGACCGGGTGCCTTCGGATTGGCGAGTCCAGCTAAACTATCAAAGTGACTATCAATGTCGAATCTCGTCGAACCCTAGGCTGGTGATTTTAAGGAAGTGTCTGATGCTACAGATCACAAGCCACCTAGTGGGTTCGTGAGGACCCTAAGACGATACCAGCCGGAGGTAAAAACGCAGTGGTTTCTGCACTGGTGAAACTCTTCCGATGGGCTATTTACGAGAAGTGGCCCCTGGTTGTCTGAACTTATTTTAGGGTGTCGTGGCAAATGAAAAATAAAATGCGACCAATCGAGTTGTACGTCGATCGCGGTCCTCAGCCTCCTTCGACGTTCCTTTCAGTGCTGGTTGCACCTGGAATATAAATAGATCTTTAATATCACGAAAACGTTTCGCGAAAATGGGAATTATTTATATATAAATATATAGAAAATAAAGTTCACAATTATTTCCACTTTTTTGAAAAAGTTTCATTGCTTGGCGGCAAAAATTGATATAAAAAGGTAAAACGTACGAGGATTTCCGCACTGCCGGTAAATAAAAAATGGTGCCCTGAAAAAATTTGAATTGAAAAAATTGGTTGGCATATCTTACTTCACACTACTAGGTTGAATGCGGCTTCAAATACTCCGGGAACCTGACGGTTCAGCCTGATCCTGTTTTTGTTGCGCCGATGGCTGTTTTATCTGTGCATTACCAGGCGCATCGTCAAGAATTTCGATAATTGGGCCATCCGCCGGTCGGCTATAGCAAGCTGAAATGCCACACATGATGGAGTTGCCTTCAAAACAAGCTGGTTTCAAACGACCGATACTAACAGCATCTTCACATCCGTTTCCCCCAATATACAGAACTTCTCAAGTCAATTGGTCACTTTGAATGGCCCGTTGTAGGGTGGTTCAAGTGGTCGACGAAAGGTGTCGTGGCGAATAAACACGTATGATGTCTTTTGTAAACTGGGGTGAACGAAAATATCAGTCGTTTGAGGTCTAACCGGAGAAGGCCTAACTGAACGCATTGCGTTTGTAAGCCTAGTCATGTAGGATGTCCTGTCGGAAAGATGTCCGAAAATTGAAGGGGAAACAATTTCACCTGGTCAACGGCTTGACTACCACTTTTCAATCGGTAAACGGAAATTGCTTGATCGAAAAAAGGGACCTAATATTCGTTACTAGCCACCTCTTGAAGAAAAGAGCACACTGTGCGTGGTAGCAACCTAAGTATTCTGGATATGGTGGTATTTTTGAGGGCACTGAGTGGTTAGAGTAATTCATCATACAGGACTTTCCGACCTGCTAATGAAAAGTGATTAGGATCTCAAACATTTTTCATGGTTATATCAAGGGAAGCGGTGGTGATATATTTGCTTTGTCGTATGGTGAGTAACGACTTAAGTCCCGAGCTCTCCAATCTTTTCTGTCATTCAAGATCTGAATATCTGAGATTCCACCATAAAATAGTCTAAAAGCCATGGCTGAATGAACTACGACTCCAACTCAGTCTCTATCACGAAGTAGGAGACGATTGGAACTTGTTACCACAGCTAGTGCCAGTTAAAAATATGAGGGGGAAAGCGATTCTTCAGAGAGATGTACGCCACTAGGATTAAGACGGACTGTTTGATGTACTTTCCTTGACACTGAAGACTGACGCGCTCTCTGCATATCTGAAAGCAGAAAGTCAGGTTCGTGTTTTGTAGACAACTTTGTAACAAAAGGAACTTGTCAGTCGCTGGCGGACACAGAGACCCATGGAACAAAAGTTCTTTACTTTTGACTGCTAACTATTTGAGTGTGGTTTGCAAGCCATAAACACAAATCCAGTAAACTCGGTCAACTTAAGAGCAGGAAAGCAGAAGAGACTAACCTACGCTTTGCAGATACGGAACTGAACATCTTGAGTACAGCTTTGAGAGTTAGGTGTGACGGTTCAAAACCTTTGGTTTGTCATACTGACATCATTATTGTGGCTGGGGGCTTACTCTGAACCAACTGGATTTTGTTCTTTTAACCGCCTCTTTTTGTTTACACAGGTAAACAACCTCAGGAACTTGCGATCAACTTATTCAAGGTGCAGAAGCCATTTGATTGAAAGTTCTTTTCATTCTTTCTATACTCATGTGAACAATGTAAATGTTTGTATGGACGTTGTATTTGTCTGATGTCAGGGGATATTTAATGCTGAATAAAGAGCGACGCGGGTGGTTTAAAAATTCTGAGATCAGCTGACCCGAACGGCTACTCAAGCATTTCGACCAGAAGGATGGGTGATGATTCCTTTGAGTGCTTATCTAGTGGCTCAGACGATTCCTGGGATATTCTGAGCAATTCAGAATCCGATAAAGAATGTGATCTTACGACATTTGTGTCACCACGACTAAACTGCAGATCTAAAGTTTGTGCTAGTTGCGGAGACTTATTATCAGATGAATTTTTACAGTGCTTGTAAGGCATCTCGTTAAAAAGAATGCATTTTGCTCGCAGGTTTTGTAAAAGCTGTTATATATGCATGAAGTGCAAAACAAAAGTTCTTCATTCTATGAAATGTTCGAATACCTCAGGTGATGGACATTCATTCAGTGTACAATCTAGGTGTGGTTCCTGTGAGAATATATCCAATTGTCAGGTAAGTAACTTAACTTATGATCTGTGGTTTTTTTCGGAGGTTTTCAGATTTTTTATACTTAGTAATAGATTTTCATATAAGTATCTGCTAGCTATGGAGAATTTCAGCTGTGATCCTATTTTATGAACAGAGCAATATTATCGCATGCATCGTTGAGGTCCTGTTAACTGTTGTATATTCTGTCGGTGGTCGTTGAATCAGGAGGTATGAGGTTTTACTGTAAGGTGATTGCATTGTGATTTCGGAATATGGTTGGTTTAAAGCTGAATATTTAAGACATTATACAGAAAGCCTTCAAGTCAAAGAGTACTAGTGTATGTTTGGTTCTGGTGCATGTCATGGAAAATACCACGGTGTATAGCTGTGTCGTTTATAGTACTGTCAAGAAAGTAGTCGTTCATGTTGTACTTTGGCATCCTGGTTTTTGTCGTCTTAGTGTTAATAAACGGACCACTTGATTAAATGAGGGTTTTTAAATAATGTTTTACATAGTATGATTCCTCTGATGTCATTCTGTCGTATCAAAAATAGTCTAAAATCCGTAATTTAATCATGCAGAAATTGTCAGCTCCCTTTGCTCGGACAATAAGCTTAAAGTAATTTCGGTTGCAAAAGCGTATAAGATGTATCACATTTAAGAGCTCTTGACACGATTAATGATTAAATGCTTGATTTTCATAACCGACATTGATCGAAACTTTCAATGTTTCGCAAAGTTTTGGTCGAAAGGTGTGGCCTTGGTAGCTATAAAATAGTTTTACTAACTCTTAAGTGGTGATCGTTTTTGAACTTAAGTTCAGAGCTGAAAACTGTCAAAAATGCTATACTGTACTTTTAGACAGGGTTATCGTCATGGTTCTGTAATCCAGTAATACTGATTTGGAGAAATAAATGTAGATTGCGTGAATTTATCTGTGTATATAATTTTGTCAATGACCTATCGTTTGTAGCTAGTTTCATTGAAGACGCTATCGTAACCTTTCATACCTCATCTTCTAGCTGTTTTCTTTTTACAAATACTAATGTGCACTTTTCGTGAGTGGTTCCCCATTTGTCTTCATTCTTATAATCATTTTAATCGAAATCTATTAGTAAGGAAACCAAGTAAATGATTTGACATGCATCTTCAAAATCTCAATTCATAGACCAGGTGTCACCTATAAAATGTTGATGGTAGATATCCAGATAATGTTCTGAAAATTTAGTTGGTCATTACATCATTGAATTAGATTCCGTATTTGAAAGACGAATGCAGGGAAGTGTTTGTGGATGCATGCTAGACACATAATTATTATTATTATTAGTCCCTTGGGTTCCTAGTGGAACATAGGGCTTCAGTAGCACGCCTCCAGTGACCTCTGTTCTCTGAGATCTTTTGAACCTGGTTCCACGACAGCCCAGAAGCTCTCATTTCCTCCTCGCATGACCTCCTCCATGTCACCCTTGCCTCGGACGTCCAACTCGTCGCTTCCCATGGGGATTCCACTCGAGGGCCTGACGCGTGATGTCCTCAGTCGGCCTTCTCAGTGCATGACCAATCCATCTCCACTTCTTCCTGCATATTTGTTGAGTGATAGGTTCTTGGTTGGTTCGTTCCCAGAGTTCCTTGTTGCTTATTTTTTCTGGCCATCTGATCTTCAGTAGCGAGCGTAAGCAGTTGTTGATGAATGTCTGTAGTTTGTTGGAAATGCCTTTCGTGACGCGCCAAGTCTCTGAGCCATACAAGAGCACTGACTTGACGTTGGTGTTGAAAATCCGTATCTTGTTCCGCATGCTGAGTGCAGAAGATCTCCACACTGGTTTCAGGCTAATCAACGCCTGTCTTGCTTTTCCGATTCTGACTTTGACGTCCTCGTCCGTCCCGCCTGTAGTTGAAACAGTGCTTCCTAGATAAGTGAAGGAGGTTACTTCCTTCAAGTTTCTCCCGTTGATGGTGACTGGAGTTTGTTGTTGTTGTTGATGGTGGTGGTGCGGTATCTTCATCACCTCTGTCTTCTCTATATTCACTTGAAGTCCCATCTTCGCTGCCTCTTCTATCAACTTGTTGGTTTTTGTCTGCAGATCTTCAAGTTTATGTGACAGTAGGCATAAGTCATCGACGAAATCCAAGTCTTCTAGGTTCTTTTCCGTCGTCCAGTGTATCCCCCTCTTCTCGCTGCCTACTGTTTGCTGCATGATCCAGTCCAGTTGACCACAATCAGGAATGTCATGGGGGATAGTAGGCAACCTTGTTTCACTCCTACTCCTGTCTTCACTTCAAAAGCATCACTGAGCTTCCCATTGTGAATTACTTGGCTGGCATGTGGCATCTTCATATAGTTGTTGAATGAGGCGGATAAAGGTTTGCGGTACTCCGTAGTATTGAAGCAGTTTCCAAATTACTTCTCGGTCGACGCTGTCAAAAGCCTTCTCAAAGTCGATGAAGTTGAGGCAGAGAGCTGATTGCCATTCTATGCTCTGTTCTATGATGATGCGTAGTAAAGCGTTGCAATTTGGTCTGCACATGATTTGTACTTCCTGAAGCCTGCCTGTTCCGGTCGCAGTTTTGAATCCAGTGCGTCTTTAAGCCTCTCCAGGATGATGCGGCTTAATATTTTACTTGGGGTGGACAGGAGAGTGATTCCGCGCCAGTTCTTGCAAACACTGAGGTCACCCTTCTTCGGCAGTTTGACAAGGTAACCCTTCTTCCAATCGTCAGGTACCTTCTCTTCCTTCCACACCTTCTGCAATAGTGGTGTGAGCATGTCCGCTGTTGTCTCTGCATCTGTTCTCAGTGCTTCTGGCGGTATTCCATCTGGTCCTGCTGCTTTCCCACATTTCAGTAGCTTTATGGCGTTCAGGACTTCCATTTTCGTTGGGGATTTATGTTCACTTGTAATTCAGCGGCTGCAGGTGGTATTTCTGGACGAAGTGCAGGTGGTGGTCGATTCAAGAGCTTCTTGAAGTGGTCGGCCCATCGTTTCCTCTGTTTCTCTTCTTTTGTAATTAAATTTCCTTCTTCATCTTTTATTGGTTTCATCTGTGTTGGTCTCTTCCCTGATAGCAACCTGGTTATTTGATACAATGTCGTCAGGTCTCTCTTACCTGCCGCCTGTTCTGCTTCACTTGCCAGTGTTTCGTAGAAGTGTCTTTTGTCTTTGCGTGCACTCTTCTTCACTTCTTTATCCAGTGTTTTATACATTGTGCTCAGTTCCTCTTGTCGTTGAGCATCCTTGCACTGGTTTATCTTCTGTTTCACCATCCTCCTCTTCTCTGTCAGCTTCCATGTGTCCGTCGAGATCCATTCCACTCATTATCTTCTTTCTTCTTCCCTTCCTAATACTGTTGTGCAGGTTTCTTTCCACATTTCTTTCAAAGACTTCCAGTGTTCTTCCACAGATTTCTTCAGGGATGTTGCTCGATGTCTCCCATTTTGTCTTGATGGCTGTCGTGAAGATTTCCTTTGTAGTTTCATCCTTCAGTTTCCGAGTGTTGTACTTGAATTGAGGTCTATCACCAGCTTCCTTGAAGGCTTTTAACTTGATTTCGAAGGTTCCTTGCACTAGATAGTGAGTGGTCTGAACCTACATCTGCTCCTCTTCTTGACCTTGTGTTAAGTAGACTGCGTCTCCATTTTCTTGAGATTGAGATAAAGTCGATTTGATTTTTAGTGTGTCCATCTGGTGAAATCCATGTCGCCAGCTTTGTGAATATCCTTGTGCCTGAACACACTGCCTCACTCCAATCACCAAATCGTTGAATGCACAGAATTCTGCAAAGAATTCTCCATTCTCATTCATCATTTGATCTAGCGCTTCTCGACCCATGGTTAGTTCTCTTCCTGTGTTGTCCCCTCCCAGTTTGGCATTCATGTCGCCCATTAGAATTTTGATATCGCCAACTGACGTCTTGTCCAGTGTTGATTGAAGTTTTCTGTGGAATTCCTCCTTTTTCTCTTGCTCTGCATTATTTGTAGGTGCATAACATTGTATGATTGTGACCTTTCTTCCTTTTGAGTTGAATCTTGCTGTCATGATCCTGGAGGAGATTGGTTCCCACTGCATGAGAGCCTTCGATGCTCTTGAGGACATCATGATAGCCACTCCCTCAGTGTGCTCGTGGTTGTCGTTTGGGTGACCGGAGTAGATTATTGATTCTCCAGTTGACAGTTTGGAGAGTCCACTTCCATTCCATCTGCTTTCGCAAATCCCAAGCACTTCGATGTGATACCTTCTCATCTCCTTTGCAATCTGGGCTGCCTTACTGGGTTCAAACATCGTGCGGACATTCCATGTCCCCACGTTAACTTTCGCTTTCATCGAGAGAAGACACATCGGCCAATTGGCTTCCCGAAGGCTTTCACCAACTGGCGTCATTTCGCCTCTCCGATTCCAGCGGGGGATAAGTTTGTTTTCATTTTTTATATTTTGTTTGTGCTTTGAAGTTTGTTTAGCGGTTAGATTTGTTTTACGGGGTAGGGTTGCTAGCCCTATGCCCAACCTTCCCTCTTTACCCGGGCTTAGGACCGGTTAGTAACTAGTAAACTAGTTAACCAGGCGAGGTTATGCTAGACACATAAAGTTCTGTCAATTTAGGTAGTATAATTAGAAAATAAAGTTTGTCTGGACATTCCTTAGATAAACTTCGTCTTGTAACTGCGCTATCTGTTCCTAAAAAAGACTAGTTGTTTCGAATTCTGCCAGTCTAAATAAAAATGAAAATATTGGCAACTGGATATTACGTTTTAATTCGTGTGGTTATTCTGAATTTCTGTTTTAATCCCTACTTTAGGTTGCTGTGCTAGCTTTGTTTGATTCTAGTGGGTATAAACGCAGTAGTTTTTGCCGCTTTCAGTCCGCCTGTGTTACATCTTTTCATTTTGGTATATGATGATTGATGTTTGTACTCACTGTCAGGTTTCGTATTGTAAATAGTGCTACTTTCTGATGACCTTTTAAGATGATTAATGCAGTCCAGTCTTCAGTTTCTTGAAATCAGCAACATCTATGTGAGTAGTATAATATTCTCATTTGGATCATTTATTGTCACTGAATTAGTTAACGACCTTATACCTGGTATCATAGAAATTACCTTTTGCTACAGGGTAGTGATTGTTATAGTTTTCACTCCGTTTAGTGGTATTATGGATCTACCGACAGCCAAGATAGAAAAGGTACTGCTAAAACAATTGTGACGAATTGTACGTGAAGATACCTTTTAGCATTACATACAATTTATGCGTGCATAATTTTAATGTAGATTAGTAGTCGTGATAACCTGATCTTTTTCATATTTAGAACTGTGAAGCGGATATCCTAAGTTTACCAGAAAATGAAAACGCATCGTCGTCATTTCACGAAAATTTCACTCACATTGACAACTGGGTAGAAAGCAGTTCAAATACAGAGTTGTTTACGTCAAATTTCAGTTCCATTAAAAGTAAGCTGAAAATTTCCTAAAGATTTTTATGGTTTTCGAGTCCACCCTGTTCATACTTAAAGTATTTTCACGGAAGTTGAGTTGATAATATGGTTTTCATTGTCGAGGCGTAACTTTTTCTTAACTTAATTAGCATACAACTAAGTAACATAAATTACCATAATGCTCACCATGTTGAAAGCATTGTATTCGAACATTTGTGGGTGAGTTAGAGCTTCTGGTGAAATATTGGATAAGTGGTGTACATCAATCGTGTTCGTTCCTTTCATTTACATTTGTCACAGACGTACTTGTGAATGCCTCCTTCTTATGAGAGTTCGCAGTATAGACTGTTCTACTCAGAGACTTTGACAAGCGCTGACCAAGGATTTACTCGGCAAAATCACATTTGAATCTGAATTCCACTAGAAGTATTCTCTTTGGAGCCGACTCAATCTGTTCCCAAGCTTTCTTTTCTTTCTTATTTCACATCTATAAACCTGGATGGGTAGCCATTTTCTAAAAGTATTTCCCGGAGTTTCTAGTTCTTGGGTAAGTGTTCGATCGGTGCATATCTTTCCCATTCTTGGTGAGAATGAGCTCACAAGATCTCTTTTCCCACTTAAGGGCACCCAAATTGGAAAGTTGGCCTGTTGCCCGTTCCAAATGGACTTCTTGTGAGTGGATCTTTGAATGAAATTATCAGGCCTAATTTAAAGTTCGACATCGAGTCTGGTTCAGCTTCTAGTAAAAATGTAACTGAAGGGTGATTGTTACTGAAGTTCTGAAGCAGGCATGTCAGCCAAACGTTGTCATTACAAAAATGAAGGTACGTCCAAGTATCTTTTATATTTGAGAAATTCTCTTGAGATTTACGTTCAATTCACATTTAATGACGAAACTTACAGACAAACCGATAGTTTAGGAATGCAACCGCCTTCTGAACCTTTGTTAGCTGTGCCCCTTTAATCGCAAGCTTTGAGAATAGTTACTAACGATCGGTCAATTTCATGTATGCAAAAGATACTTGGACGGTACCTTCATTTTTGTAATGACAACGTTTGGCTGACATGCCTGCTTCAGAACTTCAGTAACAATCACCCTTCAGTTACATTTTTACTAGAAGCTGAACCAGACTCGATGTCAAACTTTAAATTAGGCCTGATAATTTCATTCAAAGATCCACTCACAAGAAGTCCATTTGGAACGGGCAACAGGCCAACTTTCCAATTTGGGTGCCCTTAAGTGGGAAAAGAGATCTTGTGAGCTCATTCTCACCAAGAATGGGAAAGATATGCACCGATCGAACACTTACCCAAGAACTAGAAACTCCGGGAAATACTTTTAGAAAATGGCTACCCATCCAGGTTTATAGATGTGAAATAAGAAAGAAAAGAAAGCTTGGGAACAGATTGAGTCGGCTCCAAAGAGAATACTTCTAGTGGAATTCAGATTCAAATGTGATTTTGCCGAGTAAATCCTTGGTCAGCGCTTGTCAAAGTCTCTGAGTAGAACAGTCTATACTGCGAACTCTCATATTATCTACTCATGTGAAAGCTGATTTATCAGTACGGCAGGTTTAAGCATTAGGCTTCGTAATTGTGCTTGTGAAAGCTCATTTGATCCTATAAATCTGAGTAAATCGGTCGTACAATGCAATCACTTGGAAAACGCCACTGCGAATATTACCCAGCCCGGTTGCTGAATGGTGAGAGCCAAACCATTTTCAGCTCCATCTTTAAACACCTCGTAGACTGAAAATTTGGCTCTCTGGCAACCCTAAGAGTTAGACCAAACCGTACGGAAGAGGCGGTGATTAGACACTTGTGTCCAGTCGAAACCTTGTCTATTCACATCTTCCAACCTCACTTATGTATTCAAGAGAAATGCTCCCTTTACTCTTACCTTAAACAGATACTCTACACTTCTGTTTATTTATGTTTATCAGATACCAAGTCTTACTACTGTTTAGTGCGTTTTATAGAAACCATTGAGATCATTTCTTGTTTTACGCAGTATCATTTCATTCTTTTCTATTTCTATCGATTACCTTTGACTTTTGACTGCAAACTTATCTGAAACATTCTATCATTTTGCTTATATATTTATGATTATAAAGCTAAGAAAATGAGCAGTCGAAATGTTAGCTATCTTGGGTAAAACCTTTTTTACTTTTTCATTATCACTATTCAGAAGACGTTTATGGTCTGTTAGTGCCTTGGAGACTGGCGTTTGAGCCATCGTCTTGGATCATTTGTGCATGCTGAACTGTTACAATAAGGTAGCATCGTTTGGTGAGAGAAAGTGTGGAACTGATTCCGAGGACTTTAAAATCATTATTCTAATCTTCTAAAAGACCACATATTTCGTTATTTTCCTCACTTAATTGGACTATGTTATCTAAGGTCTGTTGACGTGAGGAAGTTATCATAAGCTTTAACATGATCGTGGGATTTCAAGTGTAAGGTTTATTGTGATATGGCACATTTATCAAGTGTTTTTTTCAGTGAGAGACAGTGTCATAAGACAAAGTCGAATTTCACATGTATATGTGAAAAACAACTAATGTCGTGCTCCTACAAGAGTGTATTGCAGATTCTGGTAGAGGGTAAAGACCTCATTGATACATCCTTAGTCGGATTTTAAACCTACCTGATTTGTCTGCTTTGCTTTTTCGGAGCTTCTTTCATGCATCTAATTACTGTTCAACCCGGAATCCCATGTACTGTTTGTCAAACTGATCCCTCCTTGACTGTCATAAAAGGACTACTCTGTTTTCTTGAAGAGTTAGACAACCAGGGATTAAAATTATTCAGGGTCGATCATTTCCGATTCCCATGTATCTTCAAGCACTTCAGTTTATTTAACTAATGGACCATCGTTTTTTAATACTTCTGGTGCTTGTCATTTGGAAGTCTACTTAGAGTTTTGTTCACCAGGGATGTTCACTATCTTTATTTTTATCAAACCTTATTTCACACTTTGTTATACATATAGATACCAGGTCTTCATCCTCTGCGAATGCGTGCAACACAGATTTACCAACACCTATCCCAGTCATATTTCCTTGTCAGAGCTTAGCATTCAACTTTGCCGGTCAAGAGGTCCTTTGCTAGTTTCTCTTACAAGTACGATGCATTAATGAAGGCTGTTAGAAGTAGGATTAATTGTGTACATTGTGTTAAACTTTTGCAATTGCAGGGTGTATTCGAACAAACAAAATCATAGTTATTTTGTAGGATTAAGTGGAAAGAAAGCTAACAGTTAATAAAGTGAGATGTGGTGCCAATGGATTTAGTCGCTGACCACGTTCAATGAACTTCAAGCTTCTAGGTTAGGGTTGGTGAAACAACTTAAATAAGTGGTGGTTGATTTAGAACAGAATCTGTTGCAGTAGGGCAGACACACTTATACCCTGGACATTAAGATACCTTGATATCCTTTTATTCCGCCTATTTTTAAAGAATACTTTCTTTTTTTTCAGTCCGCTTTTGTTAATGATACTACACTGTACTGGTGTGAATAGTAACAACTTTCACCGGTATTAGATTATTTCAGTTCATATTGTGGTAATATGTACCTTTGATTTCACTTCTTTATATATTCTTACATTTCATTATGCTTGCTGGCTGGTTATTCATAACATACCGCCTAGATAGAGTCCTGAATATGATAGGAATGGTTGGTTGGAAACTCTTGATGATATGGTTGAAAACCAGTCACCGTGACGCAGATCTTTACACTATTTGTCATCTTCAGAGTATGTAATATTTCCACTAACCTTGGTCTGTTTGTTCTTTCTCGTTTCACATGCTTTAAGAAAAACTTTAATATCACTTTTTCTACCTTCTTGCTGTTTGCATTTTGCTGTTGTATTGCAAATTGAATTGATACGCTTTTGTAAGAGGTTTTACATAGATTTTTCTATGTGATGGCTGTTTATGGTATCCCGCTGCCCGAACGTCGATAAATGCAGTTTGGTTCGAGGCATTAGTCCACTGATTGAAAGTCAATCGTCTAGACCGATGAATCGTGTAAATCAAATGTTCCTTTTCACTGATTAACAATGACGGGTGAACTGTTGAGTGTTAATATGAACACCGTGGGATTTGAAGATCGTTGGGTTTGTTGCTTTTTAGAGGTAAGGATATGATCACTTTGAAGGAACTTTCAAGCTGCTAATAAATGTCTATTTAGTGCTCGCTTTTACTCAGTGATTCCATGATGACTGCTAGTTAGCGATGTAAAAGTGTTTTCTAAATAACGAGGCGCCCCCAAAGTGAGTAATAATTCAGTACTCATGAGTGACATTTCAAAACTGATTTTCTGCAAATCCAGTAAGAAGTGGGATCAGAATAGCAGATAGTTACGATGAATACTTAAAGATAACCTCAAATGATCGCAGTATGTCATTGATAAAGTGAACTTGAGAAAGATTCAGTGAAATGTGACTCAATGACTGCATGTATTTTCGTGTACTAGGCAGTGAACCATACTTATGGATTTATGACTCTATCTGCTTTTCTAAACCTCGACAAGTGTGTAGCAGGATTCAAATCTGGTACCCACTGACTAAAGGTTAACAGCTTTCATATTCATTCATGAAATCAAATGAAAAAAAATAAGGATTTTCTGTTTCTGACCCGCGAAACTTGCTAACTCGCTATTCTCCCTTATATGTAACCGAGAATGAGTACCACCGAAGAAGCTCGTCTACAGAGTAGCATGTCTACAGTTTTTTCTCAATTCTTTAGTCATTGGTAGTTCTTAATGAAAGCCATCCTCCAGTTTATCAGTTTCCGAATAAAAGGGCCAAATGAAATGTGGAATTTTACCAAGTATAATAATAAGTGCATAACAGCTAGGAATATGGAATTTGACCAAGTTCATAGAGTATGAGACATGCAGAAAATAGTTAACCGTGATTCTTTTCTAGCTCTTGCTTGACATACTACTTAGAATGTTGTTTTCAACTCTCCTGCCAATGTGAGCTGATATATATATTTTTCATGAGATTAGTATTCAAAAAAGAAAAAAACTACAGCTTTCCATTAATTAGTTTTATCTATCCACCTGTTTTGAGCGTTCATTGGTTAGTTATATAGTGATCGATTACTGGTTGATTGTTTTTCCCCAATTGATTTATTAGGTTAATAATAATAATAATAGTGATAATAATAATAATAGTGATCGCTTTATTCAAAACAATACGTATGACAGTATGGAATTCTCAGTATGTAGTTTTTCGACAAATTCACTACCAGAACAATACTTTCAGAGGAGACAGTTATTGCATCGGAATGATGTTAATAATAGCAGTATTCAAGGGATTAATGTGAAATACCCAGCTGGTTCTAGATGAGCATCCGGTCCATAATGAAGAGTCAACAGAAATGCAAGCGTAATTTGTTGGTGGCGGTTCCTTCAGATAATACAAAAATCTGAAAGTCAGGCTAAACATCTTACGGATAGAAATATGATGTACTTTTTTGCACTGAAAAGTTCATTTCCATATAACGTAACATTTTTTCTCGGCTTCGTTATTCACTCGAAAAATGCAGAGTTGAAAACAGTAAAAATGTGGTAGAGTACATGATATGTTCAAAGGACATATTTAAATTAATAAAACAAATTGGAAAGAAAGAATTTGATGAAAAAATGTTCGATGGACAAATTTGGTAGCCCAAGATTCAAGCAGGTCGCCGTTGTTAACATGTGGACAAGTGTTATACTATGTCATTATTATAATAATTGAAGTAGACACTACCATTGAGTACCGTGTGTTTCACCTTCATCGATTGCGATGGTTGGGACACGTACTACTTATCCCTAGTCACCGATTCCCTCGTCACACAATGTTGGCCGAAGTAGGCCCAGCTGGAAAAAGGCCCGAGGTGGCCAGACTAAAACATGGCACCAATACATAAAGCCTTTGACTGTTGGTTCGAGCCATGTAGGGCGATGCAGACCAGGTGGTTGGGGTCCGCGGGACAAGAGAAACCAGTGGCTGGAGACTCTAGGGTATATGGCTGAGAACCGATGTCCGTGGAGCAGATGTATACACACATTATCCCCATCTTAACATTATACCGATTCTCACCATTTTGCCATTTTCCTCTCTTTCTTCTCGTACTTTATATTTCTTTTGACTGAATTTTCTTATCATCATCTTTCACCTCACTGCCTTTTTACTTTATGTAGTGATATGAGCTGTGGCAACTCGGACCGTTACTCAGTAATGCCTGGTCCTATGTTGATATTGATGATAATGATGTGTGTTTCAAGGATGAATCAGACAGAATACTTTACAGAACAGTAGTTAACTTGCCAATACATTCGATTCCTAATTCGGGATTTCAACTCATAACCCTTCGTCTAATTTAGCTCAAGATATTAGGCAGTCTTCTTAGTTTTCATGTGAGAGGGTTAGACTTGCAGGAGTGCAGTTGAATACAAGTCAACTCACAAGTTTAGATAATTGGTTAGTGGACATGCATTCTACACAGGAACTAATGGTTGAAATTGGCTACCCCAATCTTCCTGAGTGTGATGGTACTCAGAGTGGTGACCCAGTAATTGAAAGTTGAATGTCCTAACCAGTGAACCACAACGCAACAATATGGCCGCATCCCACTACCTTAGCCGTTTAGCAGATTATTAGGGGCGAAGTTAATGAATGCCAGTTGGGGTCGATATGTTTAAACTATAGTTTCACAGCCTCATAAATGTTGTACTCAGTTGTCTTCTTATGTAGTTTTTTGAACACTCATTAATTAATTATAGATGAAGTAGACGTTGAGAATATCTCATCCAATTCTGCTGATGAATATGAGCAACCTCATGAAAAGTCTACAATTCAATTGTCACCAGGTGATAGTTCTATTCTACCTACCTTATTGCAATTTCTGCAAAACAGTAATGGACCAATCGTATCAGCAACAGAATCAAGCTTATTTGAATCGAAAATACCAAAATCTACTGCAGAGGTAAGCAGGCATAATATGATTTTCTGCCACACTAATAGATATTTTTTCATGTTTTCACTGGAGTATTCAAAAAATTTGTAATTTACAATGAATCGTTCTTGTAAGTTGGTTTTTGCAAGCTTGGCTGTAGGGTTGTACAAATCGCAGCATCACTCTAGACATCATCTGTAATAACTTCTTACAGTGTTTATAATGCCGTGGTTTTCAGGTTATTTCTCGCTTCATATCTATAGCTCAATTCTTTTCATGTCTTATATGACAAATTTTGTCGAGAATGGTATTGTGTTCCTCATAATTTACCCTCCGTCCAAGCAGGATTACAACTAGCTGCGATAAAATAAAAGTGTGAAAATTTATTGCATATACAGTATTCAATACCGATATTTTAGTAGCACGTGTCTTGCTTTTTAAGACAATCCCGTCTTGTGATTGGATTTTGCAGTTTCGGACTGTTGATCTCTCCATGTGATTAGACAATCATCATATGACAGCACATATTTCATTTAGCCTGTATTCGATATTGTAATAGCAGCTTATGGTTTATTGGATATAGGCTACAGATTATTCTGTGACACTACGTCATTGGTTAAATTTAGCGTTTTTTACGCATAAGCTGTGACTACGATATAGTATAGCAGGCTGCTTTAGTTAACGACTGTTTTTATTATTATTATGAGAGGGGTATCAAAAATTTTTGTACTTTTCGTCCAAAGATAAACATTGTTGTCCCACTGTTATTCAGACAAAGCAGGGTGAAACGTGTCGTTTAATGTATGCCAAAGTACTTATTCTGTATCATGTGTTGTCATATTTTTGTTTTCAGACATTCATCCTGTAACATTACCTGTTGCTATAAGTGACTTAGTTGTGGCTAACAGTATAGTCCAGGACTCGCGTTTCATCCTGTTTAGGACTCGTCGACTGGATGTACGTACACTCCAGTGAGTGATGTTGTTCCCACTGTTGTTTGTGTTCGATTTGTCGACACGTAAAGAAGATGAGGAATTAGTCATTTGTCACTTTTCCTTCTCTTCAAAACAGAAAGAAGTAATTTTTTTTTGCGTAGAGATATACAGTTTTTGGTATAAAAAAAGTAGTAAGCGGTATAAGTTGTAAAATGTAACCTTAGAGAAAACCCTTGTTTCTTCGCCATTCATTGTCGTCTTGTTTTGTGCTTAGCATTCTATTGCCTTTCGCATTTATTTTTATTTGAGGGTGCTAAGAATTTGAAAAAAGCAAACAGGTGCTTGATTTATGGGGACTTTGTGACGTAGTATGAATGATAGATAGATACATTGAGTTAGGCTCTGTTATAGGATCGTTACTCCGTAGGGTTGTGTCTTATAAATTAGGAATCTCGTTGGTTTGATAACTTACTAAAATGAAAAAAAGTGATATTCATTCTGTAACTTTTTTTGCCTGTGTTTAAAAAGTGATAAAATAGGAATGAAGGCTTTATAAATGTATCTCATAAAGCTATCTGTCCATTTCTGATGGTTTTTTATTCAATTCATTCGCTGGCAAGACGCCTGGAATGATGGGTGGAACAGTTAAGCTGACCTAAGATTGTTATTTCACTTCTCCTCTGTCCAGTTGGATTCTCAGTGGAACACTGATACAAGTCCTCAAATGTTCGCAAAATCTGAAAAGGATGTAAGTAACGTGGGACGAGGAAGGAAAACAGGACCAAATATGTCAGTACTGGAGGTATTTAATGATGGTGGTCGACGATTATTAGTTAAAGTTACTGTGCTGGTAGCTAAATTATAGGAGTCGGATGTGACGCCCTCTCACTGATCTCAATCATTGATTGTTCCAGTCTACGTGGAAGGCGACTAATCCTTGAGTGATAACCACAGGAGAATCGGTCAGGTGAAAATATTGTCTAAGATTCTAGGCTGTATAATTATTAGACACGTAAGTAAAGCTCGGAATAGCAAACTTAGAGAAAACAGGTAGTTTCCAAACCTGGTCCTGGATGTATTAACCAGATATTCACCCTCCACCAGATTCTGGAAAACAGACACACTTACTTGCACCTGGGATCATTTTTATATCTTGATTTGGAGGGGGGAGGGGGGCTTAATTCCGTCGATCGAGAGATCTTATGGCAATATTTCTCACTAAATGGGATGGCAAGTAAGTAATTCATTCTGTTGAAGGCTCTGTACTGAAACACTCGTAGGTATGTTAAAGCCTATGGTAAGTTGTATACGTAGAGTGGTGTCCGCTAAGGATATCTACTCTCTCTTTCCATTCTTATTCAACTTTATCATAGATGTACTTATGAAGGTCTCCCTCTCATTGTCTGATTTCACAAGGATCGATCTCATCACATTAGAATCTTGAATAAATCTTTTTCAGTGAACTAGAGCTTGTATATAACGTAGTTCTGTTTGGTGAAGACGCTGACAAGATGTAAAGTCTTCTGAACGCATTGAATAGTAACTTGAGAATTTACGAGACGGATTTCTCTCTACACAAATGCAAGTTGTTGCTTCATGATTGGTATTCGCTAATGCTCTGTTTAACAACAGGAAGTAAAATGGTTAAGAGTGGTGACCACTTCACTTACCTGGGAAGTAGGATCAGTCTTGGTGGGCCAGTGATCAGCGAAATCTCTCCATGAATACCAAAGGTTCAATTGGCTTATACCAACTTACGCCACTTATAGTACCAGGGTGATATTCAGTTACTTGTTAAAGGTTGAGTGCACTGCACTATAGTTCGTCTTGTTCTACTATATGGTTGTGAAACATAGGCATTAAAGACAAGGGATAAGGAAAGACTTTGGATGTTCGACCACGATTACTTTCGTATCTTAGATGTGTATCATAACGCGGATCCTTCAGTAACAGAAGGTATGGATAAAGTTCTAGGGAGAAGTGGTTAGTCAGTCGATTTGGTTGTGAACCAACATGAACTGTGTTACTCATGCTTAGTCACCGTCTGTTTCGTCGCACAATGTTATCTGAAGCAGGTTTAGGCTGGAGAAACGTGAGGGATGACCGGACTAAAACGTTGCATCAGTCTATGAAGTTTGTGACTGTTCATCTAAGCCGTGTAGATGATTATAGACTTCCTGGTTGAGATTCATGCGATGATGGAACCTGACGATTGGAAACTGTAGGTGGTATGCTTCAAATTCCATATTACCGTGGCAGATGCATCTACACGTGATCTTTATCTTAACTGTCATACCGAATTTTATTATTGTCTCATTTCTTTTTATCCTCTTTTTGTAACTTTTAATCACTTTTATCTGTGTGCCTATTTCTTGATGTCTTGATTTGAAGTATGGCTACGTTTACCATTATGAAGTTATATCATGTCTCGTGTTGATTCTGAGCAACTAGCTGATATTGTCACCCTTCACCATTCGCTTTTACTTCTTTCTACGCAACTGAGTTACTTTTTTTTAGCTTGCTCGTGTATATATGCCTTAGTTTGACGAAATAATATTACATGACAGTAGGTAGTAATAAAATCTAGGATGCATGTTTCTTTCTGGTTGAAATTTTTCAGCTGGATGCATATGCACACCATCTTTTGTGTTCATAGTTTGAGTATTGAGCTTGTGGTTTTCTGTTGTTCGTTTTCAGAACCTAGTTTTCATGTGTCTTAGTCTATATATACTACCACTGAATGGGATATACGTAAACCCAACTGACAAATCCTAAATAGAGCGAAACTTGCCTCTCTGATTTCACTACTAGCCATAATCAGGATAGTAAAGTGATTCAATAAAAAGCTATATCGAGGCCCCTATGCAAGAAGCGGATATACCGAGATCCACTGACTAGGTTGGTTTTAGGTCTTTGAGATAATATGAATTACTTCTTTGTTAAAGACATTGGTTGAAAAGTAAATAAAAGTGATCTGAACACTTGGATGTTTCTGTCGCTTTAAACAGATACCGGTAACGTACATTAGTAATGCTGCTTTACTTTCTGTTATATTTGATATGGAGTTATACTCTACTACAGTGTCCAAACGCTACTCTTACACTGATATAAAGTCTATCGTTTTTTGTTTTCTGTTAGTGACTAGCTGAAAAAGCAGTAGACTTTTGCAAGGTTGACTTCAGATATTTGTCAAATCTAGTTCTTACTATCTTTTACAACAACATGTCAATCGCCTTTGTACTAGTACATTTATAGATAAAAAAAAGATTTATTCACTAAAGTGTTTTTTCTCAATGTTTACTGTCAATTTCATGGAAAGTCAAGCTCGTAGTCTACTGGCGGTTCGACTAGTAAATGTTTAAAAATGTATTGGTTGACATTGTTGACCATCTCTTATTTGCTACATAGGTCTGTCATTATCCAATGTCATCTGTAAACACCTGTTATCATTGTCAACTTTTTCGACGTCTCAATCTATAACTTACTAGTGGTGGTTCAAGAAACTCATTTTAAAGGATGTCAATAAGCAGCCTAAGATTACTATTCATCTAGGTAGTTTTTGTGTTATGCATCCTACATAATTGAAATCGCTTGATACTGAGGAGTCTTGAACTAGGATGAAACAAACTTCCAGTACTCCTTAAACTGAAGTTGATATATTGCAGTAGTGAAAATTACCTATAAACGGTTAGGAATAGATTCATCAGAAACTGTTGTCGTTGAAGTATCCTTATTACTTACCATTAACTTTTTTTTATCTTTATCAGCTGGCATTGCTTCCTAAACCAACATTTCAACAACCTCATACCGCCGTTCACAATGTTCTAATGCATATGGATGATAGTTCAGCTTTTCAATCATGGTTTAGCTTGGGTAGTACGTTGGTAAATACTCATCCAAAGCGTGAAAGTTTAACTTCTCATTCATCATCTTCATCATTGTCTGAATCAAATAATGAAAGTATGCTACAGCAGGACTTACCATCACCTTCACTAACGCCAACATCACCATTGGCTGGTATAACAGCAGGATTGTTTACAACAACAAAAACAGTAGCATTAAAAAAAGAGTCATCTGGTGGTAATGTCTCGAATCGATCAAGTCCAACGTCTGACTTTTCCCCACAGTCATCAATCAGTTCATTATCATCTTCACCGTTAGGCGCTGCTACACAGTTTCTAAAATCAGTTGTTAAGTGAGTTGATAAGTTTATCTTGATTGTGATCTTGTATTTATGAATATTTTTTATTTTTATATGAATTGCTCATCAAGTCATTTTATGATGCTTAATGTTCATATGACGGTATCCATCAACAGATAGGATATGAGGTCACTACACTAAGGGTGACAGAACATCTTAGTGCACAGTATCAGGATATTCTGAACTCTTTTCAGCGAGGCTATTTTGAGGAAATTCATGCTTCTTCGAGAAGTTGGACTCATAAAGGTGTAGTGCGACTGGTTGGGTTACTTACTCCACTGTTAGTCAATATCTGTCAATTGATAAGTGTAATGTAGTCAGTAAACTTTTCTGTTCATCATGTACGTAGAGAAAGAGTAGGAAAGGTTGTTTAAATAAATCACTACGCTGAGATGAGTTCGTCTGTAGCTCACCTTTCACTGGCTAGTAGTAGATCAGTAACGGGAATTGAGGTTATATTGTTTTTCACTCGATCAATTTATGAATACTCATTGGTTAAAATGGTTAGTGGCAGCGATTTCTAACCGTCTCCCTACACTCCCTGTAATAGAAGTGAGTTGAAAAAAAATACCTAGCAGCACGATCGATCACTAGTTGATGAAGTATATGACTGTTGGTTTTAACCGTGTAAATGTTGTGTACCAGAAATAGACTTCTGTAATGTGATCATCGGATAAGCCAGGTGGTTCCAAGCCAGCCAGTCACAGTTATTAATTAGGGTGGAAGACAGACAATGACAACCAATTTATTAACTACTAGGTCGATCAACAATAGTATATTAAAATGCATAATATTTATAGCATCTCTCATAGCAATAAAATAATACCAGTTAACATACGTTGTGTTCTTTGGAGAGTGCTCTAAGCTTTTGGATTGAGTCCTGCAAAGTGACCTAAATGGTTACTCGGAAAAAATGACTAAAAATCGATTATTTTAGTGCATATGCATTCACTTTAAATCCCTAGTATTCAGTTGTTGATATGGTTAGAAATTGAATGTTTAAACTATGGAAGCACATATTTATAAATTCATAAAGATAATTTTCGATTAGTTCTAGATACAGTGTTTTTAATACTTACTTAAATCGATTATAGAACAAAGATAATTTGGTTTCATTTTGTTATGATGACTATTCTTTTTATTTATAAACAACCCAATTTTCCTTGGGAAAGTGAACTGTGATTGGTCCATTTCTCTGTGTTCAATGTCCATTATCTCCGTATCATTTCCAATATGTATGCTAAACGAAATAATGATATATTTTACATATTTCTCGTACATTAATATATTCAAGCACTTTTTCTGAAGATACGCCTAAAGCAATGACAGTTTCTGTAAAAAAAATATGTGAAGAATTTTGATTTTGAAGGGTGAATCAGAAATGCTGTACGATTATCTGATAACAATAAGTTGATGAATCCAAAAAAGTTTACCCGATGTTTATATAGTAGACTGTAAGCCTGACTCATAGTGTGAATGCCAACCACTTGGTCAGATTAAGGCATCTGCAACCGGAATCCAATTGTTGGTGGTTAGATACTTAGAACAATGGCTTACAGCTTAGTGGTGTTTTGTCATTGTCAATTAAGAGATAAGTGGAGTCATTCGTGTTGAAGATTTTTTTTAGTATTGACACTCAAGAGTAGCAACGAACCATCAGTTAACAATGGTTGGATGATTTATATTTTGATGTTTTTATGTATTTTTGTGGATCTGAAAGTCTACAAGAAATTAGTTATTTCTTTGTAAAGTCTTATTCCTATATTAAATTGTTAAATGGATTCTTCGTTGTGTAAAACAAATATTTCTAATCTATGCATATCAACCGATTATTTATAGCCACGTACTCGAAGACGGTATGTAGTGTTATTCTTATATTGAGAAACATATATGATTGTTAAGGTCGATACAACAACTTTCTTAGAAACGAGCAAATGATCGGGAAACTAACCTTAATACTGAATTTCGAAGTATTCCCTTTTAGTTTACTGATTGATGTTGACATTTTCATGAATGATACATTGATAGACTTGAGAAAAAGTCACCAAGTCATGCATATAAGCTAACTTGTTTTAACGTCTTTATTCTATATATTGAAATAATAGTAATAATAATTATTGTGGTAATCGCAGTAAAAGACAAGACGTGGTTGCGGCGAAGAGAAAAATTTCTTCATTTACTAAACTGTACATTCGTGAATATATATTATAGTGGGCAGAACATTTTAGAATTTCCGGTTGGGGGGGGGGGGGCAAAGCAAATTGAATGACTAAAGGAACTTAATACATATTTGGGTTTAGAATGGGAAGATAGATAAGAGATTATGAAATCAAATGTAATTATGCAATACAGGATGAATGTAATGTGAAGTAGGAAAATGAATGAAGGATTATGAAAATAGAATTGTGATTATGTAATACCGGATAAACCTATGACAGAGTAGAGAAATGAACAATGGATGAAGGAAAAACATGTATAGTTGCCTAATACAAAATGAATCTATGACAGAAAAGGTTTTATGATGACCATGGCAAAGATAGAGGTTGAATGTACCTTTTTTGGACGCATAACGCTGGTTTGAACTTCTGGATGGCTAGTGTTTCAGCTATAGACAAGTGCCTTGATCTAACTCCCTTCGAGTGTTTTGATCGAACTATGTAGAGAATTTTGAATGAGCTCTTAAAAGGGGGTTAAGTGTCCTGAGTGCCCAAGGTGTTCTGTTATTGAACTGAAGATACATTTCCGTTCACAAATAGTACTAATACTACTACTGGTGATAATTATAAATCCATATTTTGCTCATATTTTTTCGATGTTCTGCCAAGTAGTGTTGCAAATTCCATACACTTCTTAAAACACATGATTCCGATCAATGTAGCAAGAACTGGGTTTGCAAAATAAGGTGTCGTCATTTCATTTCATTCCACTGGACTCTCGCCAGTTCCGGAGGATCTAAATAAGTAAGTGGTAAATAAAGTCATGAATGTAGACAATTATGTGGATATGTGTAGTATTATTTCACATGTTTTAGGACTCTTATATGTTAATTTCGATGTCCTGTGTTCATTGACTAACTAAAAAAATGGTCTAAACATCGTAATGAGAAGCCGTAGATTATCTGAAACATGTGATGTATACATTTCGAACAATCTGATCACACATGGACTTGTCGAACTATTTATGTGAAAATTTACGAAAAGGGTCAATGAAGTTTATAGGAAACATAGGAATAGGAAGGGAGAGAAAAGCAAAAAAACCCTTACTCTAGGTATGAAAATTAAAATCAATACACCTCCAAGATAGGTTCAACGTGAGTACGAATTGTTTTTGTATACATAAAGGGGGTTTAAATTTACGGATGGCAAGAGCTTCAATAAATTTAGGCACTCGGCTCTGACCACTTTTATGTAGGCTGTTTTCATGTCTATCCTATGGTTAGTTTCTAGTATATGTTTAGCGATAGACGAAGATGGATGTTTGTCACCTGCACTTATCGGATCTGTTGAGGTCATTTGTTTTTGTAGCCACTTGGGTACATGTTCGACCTTCCTTAACTGCCTATCACGATTACTCCTCCATATATATGTGTGTCCACACATTCATGTAAATTGATAAACACAGTGGGATGTGATGTAATCTTTTATAAGTTGTTTTGGTTTGTGCTGTAACATGGACTGGGTCTTCCTATGTTTCCTATTAACTTCATTCACCTTTTTCGTAAATTTTCACATAAATAGTTCGACAAGTCCATGTGTGAACAGATTGTTCGAAATGTATAGCGCTAATACATCATATGTTTCAGATAATCTTCGTCTTCTCATTACGCTGTTTAAATTTATCAAAGGGACCAATTACTTTAAATTTTTAAAAAAAATTAGAAAAAAATGGCCATTTAGACTCAAAGGTCAAGAATTTGGGTAGATAATCGTCTTTCTCTTCTGATGTAAATTGTAGTCATTAAATAAAATTGGAGATAGTAAGAGTCGATATCTTTCCTACTTTCGACTTAGTGATTTAGCATGTTCTCTGTTTTGAGGATGTTAGCTTTACAGTTGGGTAAATCATGATGCTTCTTATATGACCTATTAATAATTTGCACCGAAACATTTAGAGAAAGGCGGGCTGAGCGACGAATATTTTTTACAGTCTGCTCCTTTTCTTTAGTTCTTGTTATATAGCAGCTGTTGGTTATCCGGTGAGATAGTCGACTGAAAAGGCGAATATGAATATGATATAGGGTGGTATGCCCTAGTGTTATATACTCATGAATATGGAATTATCGATCAATTTTTGACTATCCACAAAACTGAGTAATGATCGAAAGGGCAGATAGATTCATCTTATCAGATCGTAATATATGATCAAAATAACGTTTAGATAAAAAGATGGGAACTCAAAATCACATGAATAGAAAGAAATTATACAAACTGAAAATATACAATCATTTAAGAATAAAAGTGTAGGTCTCATGATAGTCATTGACTTCTAACTGGAGCTGCGTCTACTATATCAGCTCTACAGTAGTATATGGGCTTTACAAATAATGTCGAAATATCAGTCAGGTAGTTGTATGCTAATTAATACTGATGATGAATTTCAATATACTTGTGATGATTACAGCAATGGATTTAGGTCAGTTACACAAAGTGGAATAGTAATAATGTAAGACATTATTATTTGACAAACTGCCTAGCAAGTTAGGTGAAGTGTTTTGCCAGATGGTCAAATATTAACATTTATTTAGTAATAGTAGTAAAACAAAATTTGAAGTGAAGACATGAGTAAGACAAGATCGCCTACTATAATCCATAATCTTCCTGATTGTGGTCGACTGGATCATGCAGCAAACCATGAGGAACGAGAAGATGGGCATACGCTGGTTGGACCAATGAAAAGAGCCTAGAAGATGTGGATTTCGCCGATGACTTGTGTCTAATGTCGCACAAACTCGAAGATCTACAGGCGAAAACTAACAATTTGACAGAAGAGAAAGA